TATATATATATATATATATATTATTTATTTACAGTTGAAAAGAGTGATAAAAGTATATACCCTACGTATATAAAATTTCTGGCAAGAAATCGAAATATATATACGAGAAAAGCTGTCAGAAAATATGTCGGATATTTAGAAAATCTCTGCGACGCTCGAATTACAAACGATAATAATTCTTTAGTTACAGGCGGAACAACCAGACAGTATAATTCCAATTCAAAAGCTGACGCGGGACCTTATTTGCAGTTGACAACTATGCTTTACGTGACAGCTCATATCATTCAAACGTTTATTATACTCATGAGTATCATTTAAATGTAAGTGTTTATATGATGTCATTATCACAAAATTGGTTTCACTCGCAATTGATAATTGTAATCATTATTTATTTTGACGTTAACAATAGTCGGACATTAGAATTCGCTTACATGATGATTTGTCATCATTACTTGATCTTTTGCAGGATGAACTATTCACTGGAATTGCTATAGTTCTCCCTTTTAATTTTTGTGACGTTGTAACTGATTCCTTTTTAAAGCTGCAATCGAACCATTTGCCTCCTTTGTGAAATGACACAATGTGTCATGTTTCTCTCTACATTCTCGCCACGAACTGAATTTATAGTTCTTCACAAAGTGATCATCTCGAAAACCATTAATGCACAGTTTCAACCGCTCGACTTCTTTCCTTGGGCGACAGTTCCAAAAATTGTTTACACGTTAGACGTCGTTCTTGACACAGGTAACATCGTCCTGTCTGAACGGTTGTGTCGTGACGAACCATTGTCGAATATTTTCATTACAATCGTCGCATCTCGGTATATTATTCTTCTCTACTGGATATCCGCTCCAATACTTAGCATCGACGCTGCAAATCTATTGTAATACTCGTTGTTACGACTTCTCTTTCTTCAACATGCTCTTTCCATCGTCGTTTCGTGACCATATCCAAACGTTTCTTAATCAAATAAATAATTCTCTTCATGATTAGGTTTTTATGGAATGAAGGATTTGCAAGTGTTTCTGGACATAATCCACAAAATTTTGGATGGCGAACTTCCGCTGTATCTGCGGAATTATTTCAAATAAGAATTATTTCAAATAAGAATTATTTCAAATAAACACTGAATATGCCGCTTGCAAATAGCCCATTCATCCTCGTATCATTTCTTCAACAATTCCCATGCGATTGTATAGTTTTGATCCGAAATTTCAATCGACTCTATTATTTTTGCTGCTGGACCGGTTCGTAATCCCGACCAAATATTGATGTTTCTGTACATTCGACAGATCACTGTCATGTATCTATTAAATTCTTGACTGTATCAGAGTATCTCTTCTATTCTTTAATGCTCCCATCAAATGTTGATAATTTTATGACTGGTAGTTTTACTTGTGGCTCTCGTGACGCACACGTGCGCTCACGCCTTCCAGCAATCGAAACTGTTGCTCCAATATTCATGATAAAGTATCACTAGTTTCATTAGATAATTCTGATAATTTTTTATTTAAAGGAGTCTGGTGCTTCACAGCTCGTAATAGCGCATCGGTTCCATGTATCTCGTTGGATCGCTCCAATAATAATTGCTGCATTAGTGTAGCTTCTTGCTCCAATACTTGTGCAAGCGGATTATCACCGGATCGACCCTCGCTCGTCCAGCGACGATGCGCGAAACATTAGTTGAAGTTTATTAATATATTGTAATATAATGACGCTCTCAAAGTGAAGTATCACCCGTCAAAACTTGTCTCCTCTCTCCTTCTTTTCCTGGTATTCCTCTTTGGAGATCAGTGCCGCCAATTGTTGCGAAATTGCTTTGAATTTATTGTATGCGTTGTTAAACTTTTCAAAACGTGTTTCAATTTCTTTTCGTGATGTGCTCTCTAAATCGTCAGCAATACGATTCACGAAGTTTTTTATCGTTGTTAATTTTACCTTAAGATATCCTCGTTGTTTTCGTAATGGTTTCGCAGTTATCTTGCTCCTTTAATTATTATCTTGATGAGTCTATAGCCTTGAATCTAGTTTATTGTAAGGAATCACAAAGAAAAACCAACAATAGGACACCTCTCTTTTTGATATAATAAATTGTGATCGCATCGAGAGTCGACTAACACTGTCGTCAATATTCTACAGCTGAGTTGAATATTCCAGACGATCACATTTATTAAATCAATGTATGATGTTAATTACAATGTCTTGTCAATAGTTTTAATCGTCGTTTGTATTGTCTCTACCGATCCTCGCACATACGTCTCGCGAATCCGGCTCGAAAGACTAATTATGTAAAATGTTTATTGCGATAAGGGATACGCTTAATGCATAGTGGTTTAATGCTCAATTAAAAATTACTAATACATAATCACTAGAGCCCGGATTATCCGATCAACGAACCAATTTGAATTAGCCGTAGCGCATTCACGATTCTCCTCAGAGAGTGTGGTTTTGCTGAAACTTGGGAAAGAGACCGTGAAGAGAGTTTCTAACTAGATGCGGAAATGTTTGTCGCGCGATAAAATGCGACACAATAACCAATGAGCATATTAAGAGCTGTAAGTTTATTGGCTACCGCATCATTTTGCCGCGCGAAAAGCGTTTTCGCGTCCAATGTGCAGGAACTATAAGGGCGCGTTCACATCTTGACAGAAAAGCAAAAAGCAGAAAAGCAGCAACCAATTAGAACTCACGCTGATAGTCGACAATTTCGGCTTTCTCCACAGCTTACTACAGACACGTGTCATTTTAAACCGATACCTTTACAAAGAATCTTAAAAAAGTTTCTTTTTTTAACAAGGTTAAAAATTTCGTCTACTTCGAATCGATTTTTAGTGTTCCGATACGGATATCGACCATTCAAAGTATAATATATACATTTGTATTATTGTCAAACAAAACAAGATTATAATATTTTAAAGTTATTACTAGATAGATTTCTCTGTGGAAGTAATGCTTACTAAAAAAATTATGTTTTATCTTTTTTTTTTATCAAAGTTATGCATTTTTCGTTGGTGTCCAATTTTTTCCAACATTTGCCCATAATGTTCGACGTTTAGTATCGTGCGGAAATATTTTCATTACATAGCCTTTCGCTGCAGAATTAATGCAAAATGGGGCTGCACACCCAACCATTTTGCAATTATTTTTATTAATCTTCTAATAAGTCGTACTTATTAATCTTCTAGAGCAGAAAGTTGTATCACGATTCACGAGAAACTATCAAGGTTAGAAAGAGACACAACGTATTCCTCTCTCTTTCGTGTGTGGGAAAGAGACCGTGAAGAGAGTTTCTAACTAGAATCTCTTTTTTTCGTGTCGCGACTCTGATTAGAGGGTTTCTAACCTAGCCCAACCCGCTCAATGTCGCATCTCTAGGGCCGGTATTCATAGTCGGATTTTATATTTAAGACTGTTTTAAGTACAATCTTAAGAAGTCATGAACCAATCAGAGGGCCGCATTAGCGACTTAAGACATTACTTAAGACGGTCTTGAATATAAAAACTGACTATGAATACCGGCCTAGGACTCTATTGTCGACCCTTAAGGCCCAATTGCACCAATGTACTTTGACTTTAAGCGAGACTTAAAATTCTCATTTTCTTTCTTTAAAGCCGAAAGAGAGGGAGAGATAGGAGAGTTTTAGTCCAGATCTTCAATAGGTTTTTAAACCTTAAGTCATGAAATGAAAGAATCATAAAGGCTAGTATTCATAGTAGGTTCTTATTTTAAAACCGTCTTAAGTAATGTCTTAAGTCGCTAATGCGGCCCTCTGATTGGTTCATGACTTCTTAAGATTGTACTTAAAACAGTCTTAAATATAAAATCCGACTATGAATACCGGCCATAGTCAATTATTCTCCTCGCATATAATTGGTCAATTTCTTACGGCTTAAAGCTTAACCTATTGTAGATTTAGACTTAAGCCTCGCTTAAAGTAAGGCTGCTTTCACATGCAGCGTAACTTGCGTTAGCCAATCAAATCGTCTTAACTAGAATAACGCGTAGTAGCTGATACAATTTGATACGATTTGATTGGTTGACGCAAGTTACGCTTGTACTGGAGTCCCATGAGGCGTATTTGTCGGGACTCTAACATTACGCAAGTTTAGAGACATAAAAAAACGGTATTTTTTACTTTGGAGAAAAGTATCAAGTAAAAAACGGTATTTTTGATCAAATTACATAAAATTTATGAAAAATGTTTAAAATTCGTGTTAAATATGTAGAAAAAATAGATTTATTTTTCTTGTTATTTCGATGCTTTCGATTTAATACTTTTATCTTTATAATTTTATTGTTGTCTCACTAATTTAAATTTAGAATATGTATAATTACAATCACAGTATACAACATAAACAGTCAATTAGTCTAGTAAAGTATTATTTGTATTAATGACACAGTATGGGCCACTTACTTAACTTTTAAAATTGAAGTACAGTATAAAATATCATTCAAATAATAGTGAAAGGTAAGGTATATTTATGATCACCAGCATTATATTATATTAATTATTATACAGTATTTTAACTTTTATAATTATTTTTACACAGAAATCTTATGGGTAAGTGCAAAGATTTTGGAGCAATAGTACAGCGTCGTGGAATGCTAAAACAAAAAATATCCGAGTAAAAAAATAAAGCCAAAGGAAAGAAACCATTATTTTCCGAGTTTTTTATCCTAAAATTCTAGTTTTTTTTCGTCGCTTACATCTCTACGCAAGTTACGCCGCATGTGAAAGTATGCGTACTTATTTATACAGTATATTTATATAACAAAAAATCACGAATTTAATAATGTATTATCGAAATACTTATGTTAATAATCGCAAATTTTTATTAATTGTCAATAATGTCATCATTCTTCAATTATCCGCAGGCTCTCGGGGCCCCAATGATAGTCATGAAAATTTGCCCAAAGCCAACCGTTTTTAATAGTATCTCGTCGGTGTCAGTAATGTACATGTAGAAACAAGAAGTAATACACCGAAATATTATTGAGATAAATTATATTTTAAAAAGAAGTATATCTAGTACGCTGCACCGATAGATTTTAGATATTTCAGGTAGATCAGTATCTGAATATCTATTAATATGAAAAATAATGCATTGTTAAAAAGA